CCAGGAAAAGATTTGTTACACAACAACCGAGGTCTAGGCCAGACTCACTTAGCACCAACTCTCCCCAGTCTGTAGTGCATACAGCAGGACTTGGGGACATGCCAGAGAGGCTATGCCTTGGGGGAGCCAGGCCATCTGTGGGTATGGGGCTGTGTTGCATTCCCTTTGTACTCCCTGTGGATCCTTGCACACAGTAGGACTCAGAATGTGATTGTGAGACCACACAGGCAGGGAACACAGATGCTATAGGGTACATGTAGCCAGAAACACATCTCTGTCACCAAGAGTACATGAGACCAGCAGCTTAAGTCTCAGCTCTGGCTCTGAGACCTGTGACCTCGAAATGATATCACCCACTCTGAACACTTTGTCCTATAAAGTGGGAAAAGGTGGCTGGGTTTGCCCTGTGTCCTTGGGTTTCATGTGCCCAGACGCAGCAGCCGCTCAGGCTAACCCACTAAACCCTGCAGTCGTACTACCTCAGTGTCTTGTTTTTGCTTGTGCTTGTTTACATCCTGTTCTGGAATGCAGGTAGGTGTGTGTGTGTGTGTGTGTGTGTGTGTGTGTGTGTTCACCCCACAGTAGTTTTGAATACAGTAACTACAAAATAAAAGCAGGAATGATGGAAGGACTCTTAAACTGGTGATATGGCCTCTCTGTATGACAAAAATGTCAGTTATTAAGAAATAATAGGGGACTGAAAAGATGGCTGCTCAGTGGTTAAGGGCCCTAGCTGCTCTTGCAGAGGACCCAAGTTTGATTCCCAGCACCCACATGGCAGCTCACAGCTGTCTGTAACTCCAATTCCAGGGGATCTGACATCTGGCCTTTTGCAGGCACCAAGCACACATGTGGTGCACATACATGCCTGCAGGCAAAACAACCATTCACATAAACAAAGAAAAAAGAAAAAGAATGAAATTGATAACCATGGAAACATCATCAAATTTATCTTATTAAGTGAAAAAGATAAGTTATATTCTAAAAGGCTGTAAAACATGATATTTTAAATGTAAAAGTGTAAATAGTATCTATGCACATAGATACAATATATATGAATCTCATTTGTTTTTTATTTCCTGTTTATGAAAAATAGCTGGTTAATATAAAATGTTACAATAAGTGGAAATGAGACAAGTATCCCTTTCTAAGATGACCACATGTGTTAACAAATTAGTTTCTGTGTGATGGGTTTATAACTGTCATCTGTAATAATTAAGTTTATTGCAGTAAAAAGTAACATTTGCCAGGCAATAGTGGCACACGCCATTAAACCCAGCACTCTGAAGGCAGAGGCAAACTCTCTGAGTTTGAGGCCAACCTGGTCTACAGAGAGAGTTCCAGGTCAGCCAGGACCACAAACAAAAACCCTGTCTGGAAAAATCAAAATAAATAAATTCTGATGGCAAGAAAAAATAGTTATTGTTGATATTTTACTTTTAAGTAGCTCATTTAGAGGATATGTGTCCTGTCTCCTCTACTAAACTTCAAGAAGAGATCAGTGACAGCCTTGTCTGAATAACTGAAGGAATGCCAAGACTGCTGAGGAATTGGACTGGGTCCTGTAGTAGGTGCTGGTAAAGGTTTATGGATTGAGACATGGTACTTGCTTCTCAGCCACTTGTGAAAATAACCGGTGATCTCCAGCAGACAAAGGAGTAGCAGATCCTGGTCACAGGGAGGACAGCATAGAGTGCTGAGTGAGGCTTTTACAAGGTCCTGGGTGGGTAGGATGGAATGCCTGAGGTTATCCAGCTGTTGGTAGCCGAGCTAGGGATTGAACCTAGGGCTGTTGCTCTTCACAGTCTGCTTAACCACTGACAGACTGGAGCTAAATTGGGCCCCGTAGCCTCTGCAGAACTTACTGGCCACTCTAACCAGAATAAAATGCTGACACAGTCCTGGATATTAATAGTCCCGGCTGTTGGGGCTCTTCAGCCCCTGCCGAAGCCAGCCCAGGTCATGGCCCCACCCTGGAGGGTTAGGTGACTTTCCTGGCAGAGAATTGATCGAACATTTCCAGGCCCCTGTGGACTGAAGAATCTGAACCCAAAGTCTCCAATGTCCGAATACTGGGGACTACTGGGTCTTGCTTCTTTTCAGTTCCAGATTGGACACCTTCCCCTCTCTGAGTCTCAACTCCCATATCTGTACAGTGGGGTCAACACGACTGCTTCTTGAAGGTGCTGGTTGAATGCTGCCGGTCAGTTGAAGTACACTAGCCAATGTCCACATATTTGGGCACCCACTTTCAGTACACAGGGTTCGCCTGCACATTACACATTATCTAGGTAAATTTTCACTTGTTCCAGTTCCCTGAGGTTGGCTTTGAAAGTAATGTCCCCCCATTTCAAACCTAAATATGTTTGTCCCAAAGTTTCCTCCAAGATTCCTTGTCTGGGAATAGGTAGCTCCCTGGCCCTGTGACTGGAAAGGAAGAAAACAGCAAAACAGATGACAAACAGAAATAACGGTGGACAGGCTTACACACACCTTTAATCCCTTGCGCTCAAGATGCAGAGGCAGGTGGATTTCTGTGAGTTCAGGACTAGCATGGTCTGCATAGTGAGACTCTCTCAGATGAAAAATAAAATCATGTCCTTGAGTATAGCTGTAAGGTGAACTATTACTAACAGATGTTACTCCTATTAATCCAATGATGTAAAAATGCCCACAATGGGAAAGTCACACATGGGGAGGGAGCTCAATGGGAGCTCCAGCCATCTGCCTCAGCTTCCCCAGGTGGATTCTGCTAGATGTTTTAAGTGCCAGCCTTAAAGATGTCATCTCCATCTGTTGTTAATTTGTTCTCTTACTTGTAAGCCTCACCCAAGGAACCACTCTCTTCTGTCCAGAACCCACTCTGTCAGGAAGGCCAACTGATTGCCTCAAACCTCAAAGGTGATTTTCTACTCAATTTCTCCTGGATGCTTTGAGCATCCAATATGATGGTTTGTCATCTGTCTGCTTGTCTGTCTGTCCGTCTGTCGGTCTGTCCATCCATCTGTCCATCCATCCATCCATCCATCCATCCATCCATCCATCCATCCATCCATCCATCCATCCATCCATCCATCCATCCATCCATCCATCCATCCATCCATCCATCCATCCATCCATCCATCCATCCATCCATCCATCCATCCATCCATCCATCCATCCATCCATCCATCCATCTCAGGCACTTTCCTGTTCCTATGATAAAACGCCATGACCAAGGCAACTTATAGAAGAGTTTATTTGGGCTTACAGTTCCAGAGGGTCAGAGTCCATGATGGTGAAGAAAAGGTATGCGGGCAGCCACAGGAAGCTGAGAGCTCACATCTCGAGCCTCAAGCACAAAAAGAGAAATGAACTCAAAATGGCATGAGTCTTTAAACTCTCAAAGCCAGGTGACACACCTCCAATAAGGCCACCTAAGCCTCTTTAACAGTGTCACCAACTGGGCACCAAGTATTCAGATATATGAGCCTATGGGTATCGTTCTCAGTAAAACTTCCACAGAGAGCAATTAAGGAACATTATTCAAGGCTGACCCCAACACACAAAGATCAACCTTAGCGCCATTTCTTGGGAGTCATGCATTGCCAGGGCCCCTGTTCAGGCACCACTCTGCCGGGTCCTCCAGCAGGCAGGGCTGTGGGAAGGGCACACTGAGTCGGGAGACCTGTGGAAGCAGAGTCTCTCTTTATTGTAACGGGCATGTGCTTATACAGAGTTGAGAAAGTGGGTGGGGACCTCAGGATGGGGTGAGATGTAAGGGCCAATAATATCTCACCATGCCAACAGCAGCTGGCAGAGGCAGTTTTGCTGAGATAGGTCGCCAAACTCTAACCAGGCTCAGGAAATTCCACTAGGTCTTGCGTCAGGCTTTTTAGGCCCAACAATGTCCTGGTTTATCACTTCCCATCATTCCTCCCTTGAGACAGGGCATCTCAGGAAACTGGAAGCTCAGCATTTTGACTAAGCTGGTTGGCCAGCAATCTCTCAGGACCTACTTGTCTTTGGTCTCCATTGCTGGTGTTGCAAGCACATGCAGCCATGCCTGGCTTGAATGTACATGTTTTTTGTGAGACATGAGATCTCTACTAGAAAATGCAGAGAATAGACTGCAAAAGAATAACTTCCCCTTGTTATAGGTGCCAATTGTGGTACCCAGCTACCCATCTTTTAGCTGCTATGGGTTGAATGTGTTCCCAAAAGCCTGTGTTGGCAATTTAACTCCAGTGCAATGTTGAGAGGTAGGGCTGAGTGGCTCTGTACAGGTACTTAAGTCCTTTGTACAATTCCAAGTACCAGGGGCAACCTCCAAAAGGCAGTTCTGTTCCCAATTAATCAGCTCTATACAGGTACTTAAGTCCTTTGTACAGTTCCAAGTACCAGGGGCAACCTCCAAAAGGCAGTTCTGTTCCCAATTAATTAATTACCCATCTCTATAATGGAAAGCCAATTTCACAAACAGCCACTCAATTGCACCACATTTCATTACAGTAAACAACACTGCATTAAAAAAAGGAGGAGGAGAAAAGAAGAAAAGGAAGAAGAAAGAAGGAGGAGGAGGAGGAGGAGGAGGAGGAGGAGGAGGAAGAAGAAGAAGAAGAAGAAGAAGAAGAAGAAGAAGAAGAAGAAGAAGAAGAAGAAGAAGAAGAAGAAGAAGGAAGAAGAAGAAGAAGAAGAAGAAGAAGAAGAAGAAGAAGAAGAAGAAAAGAAGACGACGACTACCCAAGGGGTTAGTTGAGCTTGTCCTAGAGACCCAGCATAGGGTACTTGTGGGTCCAGGTTCCCACTGCCCAGCTATGGGAACAGAAGGGCTACTAAAGGTGTGGACTGGTCAAGAGTGCAACTGGAAAAAGCAGGTTAATTTAGGGTCCCTCTCTGCCAGGGTCAGAGGCCAGGGCGAGAGGCCTCTGCTGAGTCTAGAATTATGGACTACATTTCCCAGAGTCCTTCAGAGCCGGAGGACCAGCCATTGGCAGATTTAAATAGCCCAGGGCCGAGGCAGCCAGGCCTCAGCTGTGGACTCATCCGCCTCTCGGGTGGCTCTATTGGCTCTGGCCCCGCAAGGGTAGGCTCCATTGGTTGCCCAGCTGGCACTGACGTCCCCTCGGAGCCGGGTGGCAGTCGGAGGTAAATAGCCATGTGCAATCCTCCTCTCTATATTTAACAGCTGCTACAGAGAAGGTGGCGGCTCTTGTCTTCTGGAGAAGGCCCTTGCAACTGGGCTGGGACTGGCCTTCTCAGAGTGAGTGAGGTCACCATGCCAGCTTCCCAGAGCCGGGCCCGTGCCAGGGACCGCAACAATGTTCTCAATCGGGCTGAGTTCCTGTCCCTGAACCAGCCCCCCAAGGGGACCCAAGAGCCCAGAAGCTCAGGTAGGAAGGCCTCAGGGCCCTCGACACAGCCCCCACCCTCTGGCGACGGGGCCCGGGAGCGTCGCCAGTCGCAGCAGCTGCCCGAGGAGGACTGCATGCAGCTGAACCCCTCATTCAAGGGCATCGCCTTCAACTCCCTCCTGGCCATTGACATCTGCATGTCCAAGCGACTAGGGGTGTGTGCCGGTCGGGCTGCATCCTGGGCCAGTGCCCGCTCCATGGTCAAGCTCATCGGCATCACGGGCCACGGCATCCCTTGGATCGGGGGTACCATCCTCTGCCTGGTGAGAAGCAGCACCCTGGCCGGCCAGGAGGTGCTTATGAACCTGCTGCTAGGTGAGTGTGCCTGCTGGCCACCTGTCATCTGGCCTCGCTGAGCCCTTTGGGAGGACCTGGCCCCACCCCTTCCAATATCAGCAGGCTCTCTGAAAAACCAAGGAACTCATCTAATGAGGTTAGGCAGGAAGGGTGCCCCAGAAACAGACAAGCCTCTAGTGTGGTGAGGCAAGGGCCCCCTGCAAACTGGGGGCCTTGAGCAGACAGAGACCAGCAGGCACCTGTGGGGGGGGGGGCAGTTCTCTGCACGGGGTTGCTGCCCGGACAGAGTACAAAGAAGCCGAGGCTATGGGTTAAATTCAAGGGTTCTGCTGAGTGACCTAGTGTGTTGTCACTGTCAGGTCATTGTTCCCGACCACATTCAGACAATACTGAACTGCTCCCCATTGTCCCCTCCTCCGTGCTCAGTTCAGAGACCCTACAGATTGCCCAGGGTTTTTCTACAGTCTGAAGGTTGAAGGGACCCATCTGAGGTCCCCTACTTACCCACCCTGATCCTATTGGAGTACTAGCTTGCCCCTTCCCCAGGATGGCTCTGGAGAAAGGAGCATGGTAGTCAGTTTCCTTTGCCAAAGTCTTTGCCACTAGCCCTTCAGGTTAGCACTGCCATGTGCCAGTTGCCATGTGGCACCCATGTGGAAAGTAAACCATCCCTTCTACCTGGAGATGATACCCAGCCCCCACCCAGCTCATCCTCCTGGCACCTCCGGGTCCCTAGTGTGTTCTGGGAGCCTTTGCTCTCCTCCTCTGAGCCAGGCCCATGCCTGGGTAAAACAGTTGGCATCTCTGGTTCTAGAAGGAGTTTCAGTGAAAACTCGGGTGCCCCAGAAACGGACAAGCCTCTGGTGTGGTGAGGCAAGGGACCCCTACAAACTGGGGGGGCTTGAGCATGTAGGGGTACCTCTGGGGCCATGGCATCTACATGGAGTGTGGTCTCCAGCATTTCAGCCTAGTGGGAGAAAACTGAGAAATAACAAGGCAGGCAGCTGGGGCTCAGCTGTTAGAGTGCTTGTCTACCATACACAAAGCCACGGGTCCCATGCTCAGTACCACATCAAGCCTGCTACAGTGCCATGTGCCCAAATCCTAGCACTCACAAGGAAGACACAAGAAGATCACAAGTTCAAAGCCATTCTTGGCTATATAGTTTGAGGCTTACCTGAGCTACGTGAGACTCTGTTTCAAAACACTGACAAGCTGGTCATGATAGCATATGTTTTTAATCCCAAAACTTGGAAGGCAGAAGCAGGTGAGTCTCTGTGAGTTCAAGGCCAGCCTCATCTACAAAGCATGTTCCAGGCTAGCCAATAGCCAAGGCTATATAGTGAGACCCTGTCTTTAAAAAAAAAAAAATTAACAAAATAGCCAGGTTGGTTTTGGCCCCAAAGTCCAGATCTCACCTGGACCCAGTCACCTCCTCCGTGCAGGGACAGCCATCCTCCACTGAGCGGCAGACCTGTCGCTTAGACTTCTGGTGCCCTGGGGCACTATCAGTCCTGGAGCCCAGGCCTCAGTCAGGCTGAACCCTATTTGCCTCCTCTCCCTTTACTTACTGTGAAAGCTTATTAAGTCAGGTCTCACCTCTAAGTCTCAGTTTCCAGATCCATACAATGGGCAACAGGTCTGCGGTGAGGATTTGAAGGAGCTGGTGAAGCACAATGGCTGATGTCACTATTGAAAGAACTGTCCAGATCAGCCCTCACTCAGAGCACAGGGAAATCTCTGGGCTGAGGGTGAGGTCTCAGGCCTACAGCTAGGACCCTGATGGGCAGAATGGGAATAGCAGAAAACAGGAGCTAGACCTCAGAAGGTCCCCAGAACTATACCCTCCCTGCCTCTGGCCCTAGTCCCCTCACTGAGCTGCTAGAGAACCCAGCCAGAGCAATTTCAGCAACTAAAGAAAGCTCAGAATTGACCGGTGTGTACCCCAGGCCCTCTGTGGCCACAGGCAAGTGCTGTTACCTCTTGGAATCTCAGCTTCCTCATCTGTCAAATGGGCTGTAAGGACACTTGAAAGAAGTATCCTAACATAGAGGGCTTGGCATGTGCTAAGGCTAGGGGGCACTTAAGTGACCATGCACTGTCATCATCACTAGGTCAACCTCCCACAAGGTCCCTTCTGTGGTCAAAGCTAGTGCAGTGACCCCATCACCTTCATTCTCCCTCGTCTAAGCCCCAGGCTGGATAGCCCTACAGGGAGCCAGGTGATGATGGGTGACAGGGCCCATCCCACTCACCATGTGTGTCCTTTCCTTGAGAGCCTGTCCCAGGTGGAAAGTGGCTCATGCCTTGTTACCATAATCCAAATCCTTTTTGTAAAAATGATTTATTTATTTATTTTTAGTTTCTCAAGACAGGGTTTCTCTGTGTAGCCCTGGCTGTCCTGGAACTTGCTCTATAGACCAGGCTGGCCTTGGGTTCACATAGATCCTCCTGCCTCTGCCTCCTGAGTGCTAGGATTAAAGGTCTGTGCCACCACTGCTGGACTGATTTATTTATTTTCATTTTATGTGCATTTGTGTGAGATCCCCTGGAACTGGGGTTATAGACAGTTGTGAGCTGCCATATGGGTGCTGGGAATCGAACCCAGGTCCTCTGGAAGAGCAGCCAGTGTTCTTAACTGCCGAGCCATCTCTCCAGCCCCTGTTCCAAGTCCTTTAGTGAGACTTTCCTGACTATGAACATGGCATTGTATGTGCAGGTTGTCTAGTCAGTGTTCTATTGCTCTGAAGAGACACCATGACCATGGCAACTCTTATAAAAGAGAGCATTTAATTGGGGCTGGCTTACAGTTCCAGAGGATTAGTCCATTGTCCTCATGGTGGGACATAGCAGCATGCAGACAGAAATAGTAGTGAGAATTCTACATCCAGACTGGTGGACTGCAGGAAGAGAGAGACCCTGGGCCTGGCTTGGGCTTTTTATAAACCTCAAAACCCACCCCCAGTGACACACTTCCTCTAACAAGGACACACCTCCTAACCCTTTCAAATGGTGCCACTCTGTAAGCATTCAAATATATGAACCCATGGGGGCTGTTATTATTCAAACCACCCCACAGGTGCATATGCAGAGGTCAAAGAACAACCTCCCATGTGTTTCTCAGGGGTGATCCCTCCTCCTCTCCCTCCTCATTTTTTTTTTTTTTTTTTTTTTTTTTTTTTTTTTTTTTTTTGGTTTTTCGAGACAGGGTTTCTCTGTGGCTTTGGAGCCTATCCTGGAACTCGCTCTGGAGACCAGGCTAGACTCGAACTCAAAGAGATCCACCTGCCTCTGCCTCCCATGTGCTGGGATTAAAGGCATGCGCCACCACCACCCGGCTGATTTTCTTCCTTTTCATGGCTGGATAATATTACGTGGTGCAAATGGACCCCATTGTGTTTACCCTTTATCCAGTGATAAGAGTCTCCACTTCTTGGTGCTTATGAATACTGTTGCTGTGATGGGGACAGGGTGTGTGTGGTGGGGTGGTATGCACCTCAAGTCCCCTCTCCTGACTCCTTTGGCTGCTCAGAAGTAGATTGTTGGGTCACTAGAAACAAGGTTTAATGGTTTGGAAGAACTTCTATTTTTTCACTGTGATTGTACATGTCACCTTCTCCTGCCTGTGTACAGCATTCCAGTCTCTCCACACCCCCATCAACACTTACTTTTTTATTATTTTACTTTGATTTTTATTTTTTAGGCATACAAAGGAGTTTTACCATGACCTACACTTAGTTGCTATTAGTTGGGTTGTTTTTACTCATTGTATTTGTTTGAAACTTTTGAGACAGGATCTTATGTAGCCCAGAGTGACCTCAAACTTCCTAAGTAGCTGGGGTTGGCCTTGAGCCCTTGAATCTTTGATCCCAAGTTATAGTATTACAGTTATGTGCCTCCATGACTGACCCTTGTTTGCTTTTTTGAGATAGGATCACACACTATAGCCTTGGCTGGCCTCAAGCATAGGAATGAGTTCAGTTCCCCAAATGTTAGGATTATAGGAATGAGTTCAGTTCAGAGAACTAGGGGTGTGTATGCATGCTTTTTTGATCACACACTATAGCCTTGGCTGGCCTCAAGCTAATCATCCTGCCTCCCCTCCCAAATGTTAGGATTATAGGAATGAGTTCAGTTCAGAGAACTAGGGGTGTGTATGCATGCTTTTTTAATTCTATTTTTATTAATTTTTTATTTTATGTGCATTGTTGTTTTTGCCATGGGTGTTGGGGTCCCCAGGAACTGGAGTTAGTTACAGAGAGCTGTGAGCTGTCATGGGGTGCTGGGAATTGAACCAGGGTCCTCTGGAAGAGCAGTCAGTGCCCTTAACCGATGAGCCATCTCTCCAGCCCGTGTATGCATGTTTTGTAGGTGTGTATGTACTGGTGTGTGCTTGTGTGTAGAGGTCAGAGGTCTCTCTAGGATCTTCCTCAACTGCCTGGTATCTTATTGTTTTGAATGAGGGCCATTGAGCTCCCAGGATTGCCAGGTTAAAGAGGCACACTACCACACCTGGCTTATGAGGTGCTGGGGCTAAATTCAGATCCTGAGGCTGTACTGAGCCACCCCCAACTAAGCCATTCCCAAAGCCCCTGAAGCCACAGAAGCCCCCAGAGGGAAATTTTAAGACAAAAATCAATAGGATTAAGCTATAGCACTTACTACCCATAGCAGCATTAGTCTGAGGTTGAGCAGGTGCTTGCTGGGCAGATATCCCAGAGAAGTGCTTGGGCCAAAGGCTGTGGTGGCATTGATGCCAGCTTCTGACCCACAGAAGATAGGGACACAAAGAAAGTGGGCCTGTCCCTCAGTCCCTCCCAACGGTAACCTGTTTGTGTTTTGGGCACCATGCCTCTGGCCCTCTCCCAGCACATACAACATACAACATATATCCCTGTCATGTTTGACTAGGATGGCCTCTGCTCTACTTTATAGCCCATATTTGTAAGCCTGTCTCATCCCCCATGTCACTTTTTGCCAAGAACAGAGGACAAAGCCTCTTCAGCCTTGAGCCTCCC